CACAGAATCATCATCTGACAGTGCTATTCCCTAAGGTACACTCATGGCACCATAAGTACCAATGACCTCTCCATACCATTTTATTTTTACCACATTATTAATATTCCTGTAAGAAACATGAAATAAACTTCTGAAAGCTGTTATAAGAAATAGATCACTAAATGAAATTTCATTTTTAAATGTTTCAAATACAGTGCAATTTATATCAAGTAGCTTGAGGTCTGCTGGGTTTCAGAATGACACAATAAGCTTACTGTGGTAACAGCATATACCACGACAGTTTCCATACACCTTCATATAAATGTGCTGCTGTTTTAACTTGTTAGAGGCGATTGTCATAAACTAAATTTTGTGAGACAGCAATTTCAGTGCTCGTTACTGAGATGGCACCAAAAGGCTTGTGGTCTAATTGTAGTCGACCCGTTACAGTTTCACTTTAAGTATCCACTATCTTTCCAGCATGGTTGTGGTAGTAATTGATGATAAGACAATCAAGAGTAAGGAAAGTCATTCCTGTCATCCAGCACCTGTGATTATCCTTCGACGTTCTCACACAGATATCTCCCTTGTAAAAAATGCCTAAACGTCAATTTTGTACAATATGTTTCGATGGTTATGTTTACAAATGTACCAAATAATGTTAGTTACTAGCACAATTGATATTATTTCATTAGGATTGAAACTGTGACACTGGTTTAAATATGCAATCTCCTTCTTGCAGTCTTCTATCATTTCAACCACTCGTTTTACTTCCACGAAAAGATTATCTGCTTGCTTTGTGTTGTTAATTTTAAAATCTTTGTTCTATCGTTACAAATGGCCGCTTTTTGTTTTAAAATTTTGGAATTATTTTCTTGAACTATTTTTGCTTCACAAAATAGCTCTTTGTTTAAGTTCATCTAATCTTTGATTAATTTCTTTCTGAAATATTTTGATGTCTTCTATTACATTTTTCAAGGTGCGGTTAAATTGTCCAGAAAATCTGTACGTACGCTCTTGTACATTTGTATATTACGAAATTGATCAGAAATTGTACCTATGGTTTTCAAGATTTCACGGTACTCTTTTCCATCAATAATATTTTCAAAATGTCTGGTAAATAGCTCATTTTGTGAGCAGTAGGTTGATGTCCTACAGTAACACAAACACTGCAAAGTAGTTCATTATGTTCTCGGCAATAATACTTGATAACCTCATTTTTGTGCTTAGAACAATGCTTTGTACGCTCATCTTGCTGTTGATTGTGAACAGTAGAAGAAGTTTGTATGGAATGTGGCATGTTTTTTTTTAAATCTAAGTTTCATTTTCGCAAATTTATGTAAAATAGATAAAAACAGAATCCCTAAAGAACGCTCAACACAACACAAATGAAATTGTTGCAGTCATCTGAACAGATTAAAAAACCTGTGACCAAGACCGCACATAAAAGAAAACATAACATGTCCTTTGTAGACAAGTGTTCCTTATCAAGAAGATTCTCTATTATGTTCAAGGATTGGGGCGTTGTTTAAAGGTGGCAGTAATCTTTAGCGTTGGTGGTCTTTGGCACGGTTTTCATTACTTATACTGATTGCTAGTAAATGATGAACAAAGAAAATACTTATTACATGTTTTAACACGACCCGCATTTTTTTCTATTGAATATACACCGTGCATATCCAGTAACGCAGGAATATGCAATTAACGTAACAGTAACGCCGAATCTGTGCAACGCTATTGCCAAAACGAATAACACAGTAAGTAAAAGAACCAAAATATTTACTTCTTAATCAAATTTTAAGAAATGAATTATCGCATACGGATGCTACGACATTATACTTTACCAGCATTACAAATTATTTTAGGAATATGTTTACTTCTTAAGATCATTCGTGAAAAAGACAACGTAATTACCTCTGTGAAGGTGACTTTTGTGTGTCGTCAAATAAATATGTTCATTGACCACATTTGAAACATTATTTTTTCATAATCCGACTGTAAACCTAAGAATTTGCCAAACTACATATGTCGTACAACAATAGAAGGAAGCTGGTAAAATACGATTGAGCTACTTTTAAAATGAGATAACCGCAGTTTCAGTGCTTTTTTCACGAATTCAGCTTTTTTCTTGTATGGTTTATTTTTATTGCTTGTCAACAATCTTACTTATTTTACTAAGTTCATTATCATTACCCCTGGATCAAAAATACGAAAATTAGACATAGTATAACACTTTAGACCTTCCATTTATATAAATCATTGAGGTGTGAAAATTCAATAGCATAATTACTCAATTTCTTGGTCATTGGTAATAATATATATAAGAACTTCCAAAACAGATATAATCAGAGCGGGCGCTGTGGTGCAGTGGTTACACTGTTTGACTACAAATCTAGGGGTTGCAAGTTCGACCCCCCGGTACTCCTCAAAAATTACTTACATTCTTTCATACTCCGACTCACAGGACACTGCTCACATACTGATCTGACACAAAGGACACTATTAAAAATTGACCTGACACACATGACATTACTTACACACTGACATGATATACGCAAGACACTACTTACACACTGACATGACACACACAACACTCAACTCACACACTGGCATGACATACACAGGGCATTACTCACACACTGCCATGACTCACAGAAGACTCAACTCACACACTGTCAGGACACATACAAGACACTACTCACACACTGACATGACATACACATAAGACACAACTCACACACTGACATGACACACACAGGACACTACTCACACACTGACATGGCACACACACAAGACACAACTCACACACTGACATGACACACACAGGACACTACTCACACACTGACATGACACACACACAAGACACAACTCACACACTGACATGAAACAAAAAAGACCCTACTCACACACTTACCTGACGCACACAAGGCACAACTCACACACTGACCTGACGCACACAAGACACTTCTCACACACTGACCTGACGCACACAGATCACTACTTACACACTGGCATAACAAAAACAAGACACTACTTACACACTGACATGATTTACACATGACACAACTCACACAGTGATATAACACACTACTCACATATTGATCTGATAGATACACAAACTGTATTCCAATACTGACCAGTTATACACAGGATATTACTCACACAATGACATGACAAAAGGAATTACTCACAGTCACAGACAGTCACGGCGTTTAAAATTGATACAAAGACCATGTATTTCACGGTTAATACACACACTTAATAACACTACATGTTTCATGATTTGAAAGCAAAATTGTTTTCCTTTTCCTACTTTATTTTCCTTTATTCTGATTTGATAAATAAATAAGATTTATAGTTATGAATGGCGTTAGATTCTAAATGAAGAAAGCAATGAAATTTTACAATCATTTACAAAGCTTAACATTCTTAAAGACTAGTCAAATGCCATTCGAATGTTAAGAATGAAATAACATGATAATCTTTCCGTGTAATTCGCCAGTGACCTGATGGAACGGATTATCTCTGGACTTACTTGGAAAGATTGTCCGGAATACTAGATGACATAATCTCATATTCTGATACCTTTATGGGTCATTAGAAAGCTAAGCCATGTAACAAATTCAAATTATAGGTTTTAGGCTTTTGGACCATGTGGAGTAATAACTAAATAGCTAAAAAAAGTATTGAACCGTTTGCGAACTATATGGCTGACAATTATCTCAGCTTAATCACCCTCATTGAGTGGAAAAGATACAGGTAAAATTTAAGTAACAGTGACTATGAGCATGACAACTGTTTGTGCTTAATTACTTGCGAAACATGTGACGAGCAGTCTTCAAACTCCGTACGCATATTCAAGATCTATTAATGTGAACACCATAATTTATTCACAAAAACTCAATATGTTTTCTTTTTATTAGGATTTGGAGTGTCAGGTTAACTGTCCAAAAATATACCATGTGCTCTTGGTTTTCCTGCTATCAGATGTTGATTGGTGCTGCTTTACCCTTTCACCTAATTGTTTTTTATCTTGTAGTCAGTACATTTTTATAATAATTGCGTAAGTTCCTGAAAGGCACATTCACACTGTTTAGACTGAAAATGTGACAGATATGTAAGACTGACTCTAGTTGAAATAAGTGTTTCCGACAGATAAGTTAATGAGTTCTTAGTTCCAGGTTCATCAGCTTTAGTTCCAGGAAAACAATCTATAAACAAAACATACCTGAACACTGCATAAACTTATTTTCTCGCAAGCCTTAGGGTACAAGTGGAACAGCATGCGGTATTCGTGGATAATGTCATCTAAATGTAATAACTTCTGATATACAACAATCAGTTGGTAGATATATAGTTGAAAATTTTCGGCAATGTCTGATCAAACCTTAGAAGTAAGTTATGGGTGATGTCTGATTGAATTCAATAAATGTAAAGCAATTTATATCAATAATAAAATGTAATAGTACAGGGTGAGGGGGAGGATTCATATGTATTTCATAACGCAAGCCACCAATGACTCTAAAAAAAAGAAACATAGTCAATATACCTGATAGCAATTCTCTTTTTTTATCGTAATATCAACTTTGTTTGTGACATGTGGAGACCGTAAAATGTCTCCCCGTTCATTCAATTAGAGATGTTATATTTCCTTAAAATTTCCAGCACGACATTATTGTTGTGTTTGTTGAATTTTTTTTCCTTCTATTTGGCCTTTTTCTAATTGGGTTGTTCATGTATTCATATTTGAATACTGTATAATCACTCTAAGGACATGTTACTTGCTTTCTGATTCTTTTTGACAGCTTGTCTGTGACATGCAGGATTACCTCTAATCTTCTTTTAAAAGTTACACGTGTTTGGTTTCGCACCTTTTTTTTCTCGTTGAGAGGACACACGTAACTTTTAGCTGTTCAAGAATTGCATTTATCTGTAACATTGACGGTTCTATGATAACCGCTGTATGAACACATTCATTTAATCTAATCAATGAAAATTACATTCCTTCATTGTTAATTTATTGGTCACTTGATGTGATAACCGTCCTTTACTGTCTCATTTTGTAAATTTGTCCCAGAAATATAAAGAAAAAACATCACTATCGGTTATGTGTTTGGGATTTTAATACATTTGGGAATAATAAAGTTATTATAGCATAATTTTCATTATCAGTGGTTATTATTTTGTTGTTTGTTTTTCATATCAAAATAATCAATTAATTTTTCCAGTTTTTGCTAATTTTCTTTAAAGTAATTCACTATTACTGTTTTGCTTTTGTAATCTTTCTATATTACATTAAAGACTTAAACATTTTGTTTCACAAAAATCAATGATTGACCGAAATCTTTTCACCCTCTCAATGCAAACCTATTCATATCCACACTACATACAAATATTCGCTTATTCTATCTGTTTTATCAATAAAGAAAATGAATAAGAAATGCTGATATTGTCGGATAAGCCTTTGTCATATGAATTGTAGAAGCGAAAGTTGATTAAGTTATTTTCAAAACAATTGAATAATAACTTATTTGTCCCTACCATTAGAAAGATATTATACTTTTAGACAAAACTGAGGATAGATTTCCTAAAAAAGGTAATATATTTGTTCATTAATTTAAAGCAATTAAGAAAACAATAATTTACCCCTGTATGGATAAGGATACAACATATCAATACAATTAATATCAATATTAATTTTTAAAGTAAACAGAAATCCAAGTTAAAGTTTAAACTCTTATTTCTTGAAAAATATTCATGAAGATTATATATGCTGTTTTTCTTGAGTAATATTATGCAATATTAAGTAATAATTATATAATCAGTTGTAGTTTGAATCCAACTGTACAACAAAAAATCTAATAAAGCTAACCAACACTTAATCTATATATGTATGGACAAGCTAAAAAAATTACAACCATATCTTTCTAAAAACAGTTTAACTAAAATCATTTCTCAAAATAGCATTTAAATACGCTTCGATTTGTGTGTACAAGTATGTTTTGATTAACTTTCTTATTGATATCATTCTGATACGGAAATTCCATTAAAAGTGCTTGGATCTCAATGTTATGGTTGGTACACGCTTATTTCATGAATGAAAACCAATCTTTAACATGTAGTCTTATGGTTCTTTTTAAAGCATATGTCCGGTTTTCAGTGGATTATTTTATCGTGTTCAGCATCAGTAGCCATAGAAAATTGTCCGATTTTCGGAATTCAGAGGTTCCGGTATTCAGAGGTTTTTTTTCTTCAATGAACGTATAAGAAGAAAATACGGGACTTTTAAAATCGTAGGGTTTTTCAGAGGGTCTGGTTTTCACAGTTTTTACTGTAATGGCTTAAACAGTTGATAGACATGAAGGGCGTTTTTGTCCCTGTCGTTTCCATCTCCACTGCTGTAGTATATCTTACTTGTTTCACTACACCAACATACAGCCTGTGGATATTTCAGATCCTGCAGCACCACCTTTCCTTGAAAACAGCCTCCTGATATCTTTTCTATAACTTTTCTCCCCCGGTCACACACAAAGACAGTACCATCATCTGACAGTGACAGTCCTCTAGCTTCATTCATATCATCGTAGCTACCAATCACCTGCCCACACCAGTTTATCCTTGTGACTCTTTTCTTGTTTGTGTCAGAAACATAGATTGAACTACTGATAGCCTCGACATACAACGGATTTCCGAAATCATTTTGATCTCGAAATGTTTTCAAAACAATACCACACATGTCCAGGATCTGGAGTTTTGCAGGGTCATAGAATGATACAACAAGTTTATCTAGGTAACAGCTTATACCCCAACAGTGTCCATCCACTTTTACAGTGTTCTTTTGTTTTAGTTTGTCTGAAGAGATCGCCAGAAACTGAATTGTGTTGCTTCTTGGAAATGTGGCAACCAGTTCAGTACTAGTCACCGAAGTGATATCATAAGGTCCACAATCTAGATGTAGTCGATCAATCACATATTGACTGCGTGTATCAACCAACTTTACATTCATGTTAAGGTAATCGGTGATAACAAGAATATTAGGAGTAAGAAGAGTCATTCCAGTTATCCAGCACATTGCCTTATCCTTCGATGTCTTCACACAGATATCTCCATGGTAATAAAGTTCCTTTTCAAATACCATAGAATCTTTAGTTGTACTTTCATCATGCATTGTTTTGTGTACTAATATAGCCAAAGATTTTTCTGATGTTAACAACTTTGATATTGTTTCATTAGGTGTAAAGCTGTAACTATTTACTTTAAATTTGGCTAACTCTACGAGCCTTTTTTCACAGTCTTCTATCATTCTCTCAGCACTTTTTACTTCCACAAAAAGCTTTTCTGCTTGTTTCGAACAGTTAAGTCGCTTCATTGAATCACAGGATGTCCACAAATCTCTTGTTTTGTCGTTACATGCTGTCTCAACTTCTTTAAGCATCTTAAGATTTTCATCTTGAAAGACATTTACTTCAACTACAGCTTGTTTTTCAAGTTCATCTAATCTTTTATTGATTTCTTTCCGGAACAACTTTATGTCTTCTAATGCATTACTCAATGTCTTGTTAGCTTTTACGGTTGATCTATACATACGGTCTTGTATTTTACAGAATTGCTCAGACATTGAATCCATTTTTTTCAACAGTTCTATGTACTCTTTCCCGTCAATGACATTTTCAGAGATATCGGGTATATAGCTGACTTTGCAAGGAGAATGTTGGTGTCCATGAGTGACACAGACACTGCAGAGTAGTTCATTATGGTTTTGACAGTAAAAGTTTATGACTTCCCGTTTGTGCTTATGACACGGTTTTGTAAAGTCTTCATGCTGTTGATAATGAAAACTTGAAGACAATTGCATTATCTGTGGCATGTTGGTTTTGTCAACTAAAATGTGATCTCGGGAAAGAGTATGCCTCATGTGATGTTTGTAGCAGGATTCACATAAATGTTCACAACAATTCTTGCAGTAGCCATGTGCAGCCAACCTTTGCCCATCTCTGTCACAGGGCTGGCAACAAACTGTAATCTTCCCTGGAACAGCCATTGCCCTAAAAGAAAAATATTAAAAGGTTTTATTTTCTTGCAGATTAACTTTAAAAAACAAGTCAAACCTAAAAAGATAATTGTAGAATAAAGAAATTTCTCTTAAAATTTAGAATCAATGTACTAAGAAGAAACGTAATGTTTACATCATGACTTAAAATAGTTTTCGCTCAGTATCAGTTAAAAATTACGTCAGCTCCCCTTTGTATTCTCTTTTTGAGTCTTAAAACAATCAAAAGGAATGTCTCCAGCTACAATATTTTAGAAGAAAGCAAGTTATCTTCTGAAACTAAATGATCCGTCCTTTTGAGCCAAATTCAATTTTTCTTTAATCAATTAAACACCCATCTAAGGCATGATTTCATACGTGTATAAACAAATATTAACTCTCATTCAAAAACAAATGTTAAATAACGGTATTTTTAAAAGACGTCAAGGTTAACACATCTATATATAATGCTCAATTTTCCCATCGTAAGGAGAAATTTGTGCAATTTAAAAATGTCTAACAAAAATAATTTTCATGGAAACTAACCAACTAACTAACTAATTAACTAACTAACTAACTAACTAACTAATAACTAACTAACTAACTTACTAACTAACTAACTAACTAAAACTAACTAACTAACTAACTAACTAACTAAATGATTATCTATCCTATTTAGTGGGTTAAACCAAATGCTTAGTAACCAAAGCAAAATTGCAGATTTAATTAGGTTTTCTTTACTATTGCTACATTTAAATGACCTACATGAACATGTAAATTGTAATAATAATTATAACTCTGCGTGATTAAATAACAATTTTAACAAATTTTGTATCAAAACAATTACCTTGTATATAATAAATCCTCATATAAAATGATTGTGTAATTCCTATCCAACTCTTTATCGTACTTGTAACGAGATCTCGTTTTAAGTGTCGTAAATAGTGAATTTGGCTACTTTTTATCAGGATGGGCACTGGATAAAATATTATCTTACATTATAACGATAGATGTATACCATTTTGATAAAGGTACAGTAGTCTATTGCAAATTTAAAAGTAAATAAAGAATATGAACATATAAAAGTTAAGCGAAATCTAATGGAGTCTAATGTGATTTTATAATGAAAAAGCAAGCAAAATTAGTTCTTTGATCTATATAGCCACTATACTGCATATAAGTGCACATGTACTTCAAAGCAAGAAAGAACATTACAGGTCACTTTTATTTAACTATAAATGTAAACACATGATTATCCACACCATATTTTTTATTCTTGTCTGGACTAATAATTTATTCAATGACTATATACATTATTAATAATATTGAAATCGACCACTTATTCAAATAACACCGATTTTACTTTTTTGTAAATGGCTTGCTATTATTCTTGACTTTAAACTAATTTGAGATTATTTACGTATAACAAAAGATAAGAAATTAGGAAGCACTTTTGCTGAAGTTTAAGACAGAATAAGTTTCAAAATTATGTTATCATGATTCTACTGTATAATGCAATTTGAGAAACAATTAGAGATAATGTTCCTTGGTAAGTGCTGAAAAGAGATAAAGACAATTCATCCAAGAGCCAAGAAAACAATATTTTCATACAGCAAATACAGTTATACCACACGTTTATAGTATTCAGTGTCACAGTCCATGAAAACTCAATTATTAACGTTTATGACATTTTGTAGATATGAAGGAAGTTGTCGTCCTGGTCTTCACTAGTTTTACAACTGTAGTACAGCGTCCGTGTTTCCCCACACCAACATACAGCCTCTTGACTCTTAAGATCCTTCAACACAACTTTTCCAGTAAAGTAGTTTCCGAATATCTCACCTATTACACTGTGCATCCCGTCACACACAAACAAAGAACCATCATCTCATAGTGCTATTCCTTAAGGTACACCCATGTCACCATAACTACCAATGACCTCTCCATACCATTTTTTTTACCAATTTATTCATGTTCCTGCCAGAATCATAAAATGAACTGCTGATAGCTGTTATGGATCATTTAATGAAATTTTATTTCTAAATGATTTCAATACAGTGCAAATTAAATCAACTGGCTTGAGTTCTGATAGATTCCAGAATGATATGATAAGTTTACTGTCGTAGCAGCATATACCGTGACAGTTTTCACCCAACTTCTGTATTTATCTATTTCATAATGTGCTGCTGATTTAATTCGTAGGATGAGATTGTTATAAACAGAATTTTGTTAGCCCAGCGTAGTGTGACAGCTAGTTCAGTGCTCGTTACTGGGGTGACACCGTAAGGCTGTTCATCTATTTGTTGTCGATCAGTTACAGTTTGACTGTAAGTATCCGCCATTTTACTACATGGTTGGAGACAGTAATGATAAGACGATCTGTAATATGGAGAGCAATCCTGTTATCCAGCACCTTTAATTATCTTCCGACGTTTTCCCACAGATATCTCCCTCCTAAGAAAATTGCCTAGACTTCAATGTAAAACATTCTGTTTTGATGGTTATGTGTACAAATGTACCAAATGATGTTACTATTGTTAGCACCGTAGATATTATTTCATTTGGACTGAAAATGTGACAAATATGCAAGCTCTTTCTTGCAGTCTATATCATTTTAAATGCTCGTTTTACTTCCAAGTAAAGATTATCTGCTTGTTTTGTGTTGTTAATTTCTTTGATTGAGTAAGAGGATGTCCATAAAATCTTTGTTCTATCGTTACAAGTGGTCTCTATTTGTTTGAAGATTTTGGAATTATTTTCTTGAACTACTTTTGCTTCATCAATAGCTCTTTGTTTAAGTTCATCTAATCTTTGATTCATTTCTTTCCGAAGTATCTTGGTATCTTTTATTACATTTTTTCAAGGTGCGGTTAAATTGTACAGAAAATCTATACGTACGCTCTTGTACATTTGTATATAATTATTACGAAATTGATTAGAAATTGTACCTATGGTTTTCAAGATTTCACGGTACTCTTTCCCTTCAATAATATTTTCAAAATGTATGGTAAATAGCTCATTTTTGATGTCCTTGAGTCACACAAACACTGCAAAGTATTTCATCATGGATCGGCAATAATACTTGATGACCTTATTTTTTGTGTTTTGGACAATGCTGTGCAAGATCATCGCGCTGTTGAGCAGTAGAAGAGGGAATGTTGTTTTTACCTAGCAGTATGTGTTGTCGGGAAAGGGTATGTCTCGTGAGTTGTTTGTAACAGGTTTTACATTAGTGTTCACAACAATTCTTGCAATAGACATGTGCAGCCCTTTGGGAACCGGAGCATATCGACTGATAATTGTCTTTTCATCAAGCATTTTGATATGTCTTAAATTAACTGATTTCCTGTAAAGATGCTAAGACGATCAGGCTGAGAAGAAACACAAGAACGTCTACTTTTTACATCAGAATTATTCATGGTAAGGTGTTTCCGTGTTTCCTTGGCAAAAATAGGTCTAATGAAATGTGATTCTTCGGATAACCTTATAATCAAAACACAAGATCAAATTAAAACAACGATTATGATAAAGAGATATAGATGACTTTATTGTTAATATATTTTATCAGCACCTACTTTTTAAACAAGTCAGTGCAGAAAGTTCACATATCTTTAATAAAGGATAGACAAAATATTCATATTTCACAATAATTAAAAGTGGATAACAAAATCTCTACAAGATTTAATACTACCAATATCATGTCTAACAGAGTTAAAAGAAATTCAAACAATTTCTAGATATTTCTACAGTCATAAAACTTACTATAACAATTTTTCAAGCAAACATTAAATCAGTAACTTTCACATAGTCATCAACAAATATACTATAGAGCAACACATAATTTACTGATAGAAAAAAGGGCTCTTATAAAAAAATGTTTGAATTGAAATGTATCAATAGGTTTATTTCATACTTGTTTAAGGAATTGACCTATTGAATGTATAACGCTTGAGTAATTGTCTTAATTAGTTAGCTAAGGTTTAAAAGCTTAGTTCATGCTTAGTTCTTTTATGAACTAAATCATTAAAATAATTGCTCAAAACTTAAAAAATAAAATTTAGCTCTTAAGTTCAAGTTAAATATTTTCAGAAGAACAACAAGCATTATTGTTTTACCAAATGACACAGTATTTCATAGGTAGGTAGGAAATCTAATCTTAAAGAAGGCAAACAATTAAACATCAAGATAGCATTCTTGAAATAAACGAATCCATCTATTTCTTGGGTTTTCAATTTTTACAAGACAACATGTTTTATACATAGGTAGATAGGAAATTTAATCTCAAACAATACCACATATTCCATACATGGATAGAAAAATTATAAATCATAAAAGTCGTTATAATACTTGAAATAATGGACATCAATATATGAATATGACAAACTTAAACTATGTTGATTTAACATGTACAGATACACTCAATTTTTATGACAACTTTGGAAAAATCAACAACAGTTGTACAGTATACATAATAAGAAAATTCATAAAATTGTTTTCTTATTTAACTTTATATCTTATCGTCTTTTATTCTGATTTATGAAACAAACAAAAGGACTAGCTTTCAAGACATTAAGTTTAAATGAAGAAAACAGAGGATTTAACAAACATTTAACAAACAAGTGGAACCCATACAAACATAAATATTGAGATGCTGGTTTTATTTCCATCTGGACATGAAGTTAAGATTTTTCAGTGATTTTTTTTTTTGAACAGATTAAGTTAAAATTAATCAGAAGCTAATCATATCTAATCACATGGGCTTAAGCATTTGCAGTGTTAAATAAATGATCACATGGGCTTAAACATTTGCAGTGTTAAATAAATGATCACATGGGCTTAAACATTTGCAGTGTTAAATAGATGATCACATGGGCTTAAACATTAGCAGTGTTAAATAGATATTTTTTTTTTCATTTTGATGTAAAGTTAAGCTGTAAAAGTGGGTTACATCTGGCAAATAAAATCTGTTAATATTATGTTGATTACTAGAGTTTTACCGAGTATATCTCCAAATAGGAAATCGCCACACAAGCATACAAAAATAGTAATAATACAAGGATTTTTTAACATTTTTTCAAAAGTTAATTTCAAAACCAGGTTTTAAACAAGTAAAAACTAAATTCTAAAATTGTATACGATTGTCGCTAAAAGTGATTCATATACTAGTACACCTGACACTGTCCCCAATGTTCTAACTCCTGGTGGAAATGAATTAAAATTTATAATTATATTACTTTCTTATTCCAAAGAGCTTTGGAAGGTCTGTAACAAAACATGAACGAAGGTATTATTTCACAGAAGTAAGACAATTTGAAGAACACAGAGTTTTTGTTGTTGTTTTTGCAATTTACCATTTACATGTACTTTTTTCGTTTCAATTACATATCTAAATCGTAAAGTACTTTCATTCAAAGAAAAGGAAACAGGCTCCCAAACACATCTCAGACAAAACTAAATACTATATAAGTAAAGAAAATCCATCTATATAAATATGTTATCAAATAAATATATAATTATACAATTTTGAGCAAAAAGAGTCACAAAGAGTTACATCAACATAACAAAAATTAATTATATAAAAAAAATTGTTGTTTTTGATTCTAAACAGAATGTAAGAACTAAATGTCTACATAAGATGAAAATAAAATTTTGGTTAAATATACATTAGTATTTGTTTTATTTTGCTATAACAAGGATAGTTAGCACTATAGTCATGCAGTTGAAAATAGAATGATAATCATATAAAATGAGTCATGAATAACACTGTTCAATAGGTTGTCTCAAGTGAATATTTATTGGTACATATATAGTTTTGGTACATATACGTCCTTATATTGTTTTTTCTTTTTACACAGTACATACCTATGTACAGATATACATACACTCACACTACAGACACCTGTTTAACATTTGACAGCTGTGAAATAATATGGTGCCAAAAAGTTGAAAATACAAGAAAACGAAATCTTCAAATACCATTAAATCAATCATGTAATAATCTGGACATACTGGTTGCACTGTAATGGCTTTTTTAATCAATCGTTCTATATTGTTCAGTATCAACAGGTGTTATCAAATACAGTGTGACAGAATAACATATCTTTAGATGGAACATGTAACATTATTTATTATACGGGAAAGAACCTTCTTTAATAATCCATACCTATATCTACCTCGTCACATGACCTTGTACATACGTGACCATTTTATATGATGTGTAAAATACAAACAACAGGCTATATTCTCACATGTCCATGAATATATGTGACCTTTTAATATGATGTATCAAATCCAAACAACATAACCTTCTCAAATGACCTTATTCAAGCATGATCTTTTCATACAATATATCCTGATTAACGTGATTCCATCCATACATTACAACACCCGTACTTAGAGGAATACTGATTTCAAAAAAAATAAAATAAAATAAAAAGAATATACCAATCACTATCACATTACAGACAGACGGACAGAAAGACAGACAGACTGCAAGACAATGACTAGCAACAATAAATTTGCAACAACCTTGTAGCATCAATAAGATATAACTGTAGAACACAAAAATTCATACATTTATCCATATTCTGTTAATTAAACTAAAGACAAATCATAATAACCCAGGAGATCAAAAGTTATTTTATAGAATCCGTGCAATATACCACTAATATACAGAGATGCACTGGTCAAGTAGCATGCTAAATTTCAGTATGAAGCCTCAAGTTAATACACTAATAGAAAGAAAACTGTACATCAAAAATTTAAAGTCAACAGTCAGGATTGCATCCAGTCAGACAAGACAATGTTTTTTGTTTTGTTTTTTTTGGAATGAAGATTTACGACTTCAATCTGATTAATATAGAATTTCATATACAATATACAATTACAAAAAATTATATTAAACATAAAAAAGTTTTGATAAGCATTATGAATCACTTTTATTTTGATCATAAAAATGACATATTCAGTGTAGTGACATTGTAAAACATGTTGTGAAAAACAACCTTAGTGCGCTGTATCGACTTATATTTAATTAAAAAGGTTCAGTTTTTCTTACAAAAAAAATATCAATTTATTTATAATATACAACAAAAATAATAGCACAAATCAAATATTTTGGTCCCATTGAGCTCCTTTTACATTTACAGTAAAGTATTAATTTAAGCCAGACCTAATAACATATTTTTATGTTAGACTGCTTTTTCCAACTGAAATTTCTAAAACTATCGTCTTAAAGAAAAAGGGGCAGTCTTTTTATAATTGTATCCTAAACATTTTTCATTGTCAATTGCTGGTCAATTACCCTTTATAAATAAATTATGAATTCAACTCAACAGACAGTGAAAAAATGAGCATTATGTCACTTTAATAATAAAATACATTTAATAGAAAGGAACACTTAATGACAAACCTATTGTATTTGTTTAAAAATGTTTGAGATTTTATATAATTTAAGATGGAAAGGATAATACTTAATGTCAGATCTTAGCAAAATGTCTTTGACTTATGTCAGACTAACTAAATATTGATTTATGTCAGACTAAATAAATATTGATTTATGTCAGACTAAATAAATATTGATTTATGTCAGACTCATTCAACATTATTATTGAATGAAAATGATTGTAGATTCACAACAGACATCACAACAAAGTCTGACATAATGTCATACATAATATATCATACATATTTTAAATTATTTCATTTATTTCTTTAATTAGCAACCTATTGATTAGCATTATAAGAAAACAACCCTCCTTTATTTTTCAATTTCTTTCACCTTTAAAAATCCATCACAACACATAGGTTTAAGTCAGACTGAAACAAAAATATTATAATCTCATGCAAAGCATAAAAACACTTCAGTTAAAATAATTTTCATATGGATATAGTCGATTTTTCTCTGAGATTAAAAAAATTTAAAAAAATCATCTCAATTCTAACAAAGAGATATTTCTAGCTCAACAAATGTATTCCATGCTTTAAAAGTCCATTATCCCTCAGCAAAGTTTTTATTCTTAATTCTTAAAAGCTTTTTTTATTGTTGGTGTTTTGTTACAGTTTCCAAAAGGTCACTTATTTGCCAATTACCTGAACAACAATTTGCTTCTGTTGCTGTTTGGCAAGTAGTACAGATTGAGTGCTTGACTATTTTGTATGGAAGTCAAAATACTACTATTTTGTTTACATTTTCCTACTTTAATGGCAAATTATTCCAGTTTCAGCACTACTTTCCTCAGGTGATAAGCATCTAACATGCTCTATAATGAGTTTATGTCAAACATTTAAAATTTGATAGTACTAACCACATCAGAGCAAAGAGACAGAAAATTACAACCCATAAAATATATTGCACAGTTCAACATAACTGTGTATTGCACATCTAAACACTATAACATATATTCATACAACTCAATAATCATGTCTCAAATAATTTCAACATTAAAATATTTTCAACCTTTAAATTTTCAAACTTTTAACTACATGTAACAAGAAAACATAACTTAAATTCTTTAACTTGGAACCAGTAAAGAGTTTATTTTCAAAAACAGGATAAAAAAAAAACTTTCTAAAAATGGAGACACTACCTATGTAACTCTATGTTAGTATACAACTTATTGTAAAAAGAACTACACAAGTGACTTACTTAAAGAAACTATCTATGCTCAAATCTGTTCAAAGATAACATTAAAGTGAACTGGTTTACAACGGGCACATTTCCCTAAGTATTTCAAATATTGATTAAAACAATAGAAATGTATCATTTTTTAAATTTCTTATAAAATATTGCTTAAAAAAATTGATAAAGCTCAAAGTGATTTTCAATGAATATTTATATTGTGAATAATACAATTTTGTTCTAGAATATTTTATTATCTGCTATATAAATGCATGGTATATCAGATTACGTATCTCATTCCTGCCAACAGCATCCATATGTAAGTTTTTCATGGTTTGTTGCTAGTTTTGATACTACATATTATCAACGTAATTATCTATTGTATAACAGACCTCCTGTTATAGACCAATTCACTTTAATAATGCAGACATTTTCTGTTACAATATCAATAAATAAAATTACAACTTTGTCTGCAAAGGAATGAAAATTAGCTAGCAAAACCTGTACACATAACTATCTTTACAACAACATCACTGCAAAAATCTGATTTCTAAAATAATCAAAGGCCACAATTATTTCCATTTGCCTATTAACAACTTTCATATTTATTTTTTATAAAACTTATCGCCATTTCCAATGTTCTTTTAAATTCTTAATGGTATTCTAAAGGTCTTTAAAATTCTAAATGGTGAATTTGTATTAACAGGTATGTCATTGCTTTTCATATTTTACAATACTTGATATATAAAATATTCACTGGAAATAATAAACACAATTTAGTTCATCCTCCAAAAAACATATATCTCCATATTCAAAGGTCTCTTAAAAATGACTCTAACTTTGATCTTGACATTAAAAAACCTTGACCTTAGTATAACTGCTTTCAACTTAAAAGGGGATGATACTCTGCATTTTGTCTGTGTGGTAAACTATGACTGCTATATAAATTTTTTCCGGTTATTAAGAACACATAGGAAATAAACACCTTAAAAATGTCACCATGAACTTCAATTTAAAATTGTTCCTATGATCTTTGACCTTAAAATGTTATAACATTCATTCATGCTCTCTGATTGTTTCCCCTATCTGATTTTTTTACCATTCTTTACAACAAAACTGTATACTGAGTCTGTCTTTGATAGAACACTTAGCCCTGCTTATAACTTCTTAGTGTAAAGTATTCAGTCTAGTGTAATATCATAATGACACACATCACTATGGCCATAACTCTTGTCACTTTTACATAAACAGTTGTCTCCCTTGATTTTAGTGTCCCGATGGTTTCTCCTTTGTTGTGTCATACACTCTGATTAATTCAGCCTGAAAAAACAATACACAAAAAGTTATTTGTTGAATTTCTAATGGTAAAAAAACTTCTGTAGCCAAAAGGCTTTAGCCTTTGCCACCAGTATAGAGCCAGGACAGCCTGCACATTCATGCTGTCTGGTCAGGTCTATACTGTCGTAAGCTTAATTTTTGTACTTTGATATGAATAGTCTGAGATTTCAAGAGACCCTCAAACAACAATTAAAATGTAATTAATGGCATTGCAGCTCCAATTATGATTAAGTTTATTGTTAATTAAACATGTTTTTTTTTTAAGTCATATCAACACTTTTAAGGTCATATGGCAACTTTCCAACTTAACTGGTGGAGGGAGACTCAAGTTGTCCCTCCCTGCATTTTTCAGTCACAAGTGGGACCCCGAGTATAACCACTACCTTTCCATAATCTAGCTGGATAGCTACATTGTACATCAAATTAAACATGTTAAACAGACGTAGGATTAACAGCCCATTTTTAAGCTGTAAAGCTAATGAAATAGATTATAAAGATAGTAGAAAAAGTTTCCCTACCTGAGCAATAGAACCATGCTCCTCTTGTGAGAATGCAAACCCATCTGAAATCATGTAAAATATGAGAATTATTGTTTATTCTGTTTAAATTACATCAAAGGACCAACAATATTGTGTGCTACAAATTTTCTTCCCATTCAATTTATGTCTAGTTAATTAAATCTTTACCTTTAAGGTTATTAAGATGGCTACATATTTCTTTATCTTTGAATTATGCAAGCATAACACTTCATTTGGACAAAAAATTTCAAAAAAGTTTCAGAAATTTCAGAATATGTTTACTAAGATTAATATGGTGTAAAACTTAATTGGTAAATACAATAAATGTCAACAACAGACTTTATCAAAATCTTTGTGTTTTGCCTAGAAACAATCATTTAGGAAGAAAATTTGTCACCACTTAATTGTAAAATAGAACATTTGGGGGAAAGAGATCAGCATATGAAACACAATATGATGTTAGTTTGTTAAACAGACTTGGAACTTGTGAAAAATGAAGTCTTTCAACAACTTTTACTGAAATATGACAATATTATAACATTAATGAATAATATGATGTAATTAAAAGCAAATATGGAATACACTTAATGAAAAATGATGAAATATGGTATTACAACATGTACAAAGCAATTAGGGCTTTTCAAATTGGTTAAAATGCATTTACATCAATGAAATATGGGCCCATTTAGCAATTTAGGCATTTAAAGTGGTGAAAAGGTACATTATAAACATCAATGAAATATGGCATATGAATATTAAGCAAATTTCATATTTTGTTCATATTTATGTTAATTAAAACAATAAATAATTGTGAAATATGGCATTACTATGCAATTAAGACATTTAAAAAATGATATTAAAAACACTAGATGATAGTGAAATATGTTATTATTAAGCAATAATTTAAATTTAATGACTTATAAGATTTATATGAATGAAATATGGAATTATTTGGCAATTAAGGCATATAAATTTGATGAACAAGCAGAACATTGACTAAATATGGCATTTATAATGGGCAATATAGCACTTTACACTAAGAAATATGGCATTCAAGTACATGTCAATGTTTATTATTGCAATTCTTTTTATTAAACATAACATTTACCTTGTTGTAGCGAAACTATTAAAATGCTTTTGTAATTAATTGTAAAACTATTTATACCTCTTATTAATCTTTAAAATTATTGTGATTCATATTTACATTAATTAAATAATTATATTCCAAAATATTTTCCCCTTTTGAACAATAAAAAAATCATATGTAAAAAAGCATAAAGTAACATGAAATCAAGATCAAGAAGATAACTTAATGAATGGGATAATATTTCTGAGAAATCGGAATCATGAAAATAATATTTCTGGGAAATAGGAATTATGTAGGCAAAACAATTTGCTTTTACCCAAATGAAATGAAATGAAATTACACATGAACATATGATGTCACCTTTATTTTTTACCCTCAATAATAACAAAATTGTCAAAACTCATGTAATTAAAAAATAACTCACTTTGCGGTAATTATGAAAAAAATATAAGAAGGAAAAAAAATTGCAAATGATTAATTTTTAGCACAAATAATCATTAAGAAACAAATCTTAATTGTAGTTGTTGTTGTTGACAACATAAACAGAAGTTAACCCAGATGAAGTATTCCCTCAGTTTTTTACCAATACCATCACCATTACATGCATATATACATCACCTTTTTCATACTCTCACTAATGTAAACAGATCAATGAATCATTAGTATTTTCAAAACTATCATACAAAAAAAGATCATTTTGACAAAATCTTAACAAACTATCTTCAAATATCTATTTTTTTTTTTATCAAAATTGAAAAATCAGATTACCATAATTATAGATATTTGTTTTTACCAAAATTAATCTCCCCTTAATACTGTAAATGGCTTCAATTGAAAAAGGGAAGTAACTGATAAAACAAATTGAGTCAGACAAGATTAACCTCCCCTTAAAATTGCAAATGGTGTTAATGGCATACAGGTAGGTAACTCTTAATGGTCAATCCCAGTTATATGGCACTGTAATACAAACCCTATCCCTGTGTACTTTAATAATAGACAACTTATTAAATATGTACATAACTCTTGAATAAAATATTTTCCAACATCAATTAAAAATGTTAAATGGATTTCTTTAATTGGCATGCCATGAAAAAGAGAAGCTAAAGCTTACAAGATCTGCTATTTTCAGGCAATAGAAAGTCTAGTGGATATTGATAAATACATGTACAGGAAGTTACATAATATGTATTTAGATCATACATTTTGGTAAGACCAAATTAGAGTAAAAAAAATTTAACTATTGTGCTACACCTAGCATTCAAACATATACCCGTACCTAAAAATATTACAGTTTCTAGCAAATCTATTAAATTACTAAAACTTTCTGTAACTTCTTCTCTTGACTTACTAGCATTGTAACCAAACAAAGAAATAATACAATAATTAAAGTGTATCTGCATATCAATCTAACCATGACTACTTCCAAATTGACAGATTTCTTTTTTAAATCTATGGCACACTATATCTTCACAAAAACTTATGCTAGAGTTTTATTATGACCTCGTAGCTGGGTAAATTCACCAGCAACTACTGTGAACTAGCTACTTTTGGTTATTTTCCCACATGTCTTTCCTGCTGGTCATTACTTTACCCTGTTACTATAAGAAATGACCAAGTTTCTTTCAAATGCCCTGAAAATGAACCAATTCTGACTTTGTACCAAACAAATAACATAAACAACCCTAACCTAAGAGAGATTCCATAAACATTCAGTGTAGCAACTGTTTATATTTCCCATTACAACATTTTGTTATTAAAGTCCCATTACCATTTAGTAATTCATATTTGATCTGTATAAGTAATCTCCCTTTCTACCAACATTTACTTACACAAATTGATAAGCAAGCTTATTAATTAAATCACATCACTGCTTTCTGTATGAAGAAGAAAAATTGCACAGTCTTTATTTTTTATTTTACAATAATCATTGCTTACTTATTTTAGGGGTACTAGCTTAATAATGATTAAGGTGTCTTTTGGAATGTTTCTGAACCAGGGCATCATGGGTTTGAGCCCTACATGAATCAAGACCATGTTCCCTCATTATCATATGACCAACAATGATAGTCAGTTCCAGGAAGCAGACTTATATAAGGTGTAAGAATTTGTTTCACACTCGTTCTTAACCTTAAACCTGCTGGGACTGAGTGTCATTAGCCTTTGCCACCATTATTATAAGAGCAAGTCTAATGTGTATATCTTTGCAGTATCACCATGCTTTATGTTGTTGATTGTTCAATGTTTGTATTTTGATGCTGAAATCCTTTTTTACTTTGAATGGACTGTTCCAAATTCAAAGCAGGGCTATACCATTACATTAATTAAGGGTTAAAAATAGTTTAAACTAAACCAACTTGTTTACTAGGTTTCTAGTTTTATTTCATGAAAATACTTGTCTTATTAAGTTCACACGCAAACATAAGATAAAATCTAGATCTAAATCATAGATCTTTATGATTCCAGAGAAAAAAACTGATACATGTTTAACAAATGAAAGAAACTTAACTACATTATGTTGCCTCTAAAAATACAAATAATTACAAAATACGTTAGATCTACAACTATGCATATCAAACTTATTCTATTTCTTTAAATTTCTCCAAACTACCTGAACTATGTGAAATGCAAATTGTTCACTACACACTTCACAAAAATCTACACTCTGAAAATTTCAATGTCAATCGGTTTATCAAATATGCCTACACTGTGATTTTACAAAATTTTTGCGAGCAAAATTGTCAGGCAGTTATGCAAAGCTAATCTGTAAGCATTAAGCTATTTCAGGTTAATATTATTTAGCTATAGTTCTAAATGATGCAGTTAGTACTTTGCAGTATGATGTTCATTCAGTAGTAGTAAGAAATTAGGAGTGCTTGGTTCCCAGCACAAACAAATTGTGTTGGCTTGGTTCCCAGCACAAATACATTGTATGCTTGGTTCCAGGCACAAAGTGTGACAATGCTTGGCACCCAGCACAAAGTGTATAATAATACTTCTATATGGTATGCTGTTTTACCAGGTAACTTACCACAAGGAATTTCCTCAATATAACCACCTGTGCATCCAATTATATAGTTATATCATTTACATGTGAGGCTTCAAAACTAATTTGTATGGAAGACGAGTATAGAAGTAGTTTTTATTTGTATACTCAAAAACTTTTGGCAATGTTTGTTTAATAGAAAACTATTGACATTTAGTCACTATCGGGACAGTCTACATTTCAGGTAAGATGTCATTAAATGTTGCATTTTTCAATGAAAAATTTATAAAACAAATGTATTTAGAACTATACATAATCAAAGGTTTCTAAACAATTGTGCGTATAAAGTATTTACAAAAATTCTGATGGCTAGGTTCAGCATAAACTAGCTGAATGGTGTAATGCTTACAATAACAAAATTTTGTGAGTACCAAATGAAACTAAATTCGAGACCTGAAATGAACCAATCCTTTAACAACACATTGAGAATGATTCATGATTGTTATTCTATATTTAGAAGAATAAATATATAATAATATATATAAATCATGCAGACAAATGAAAGAATTCCAAGTTTCCAAGGCACTCATTACTTAATTTGTACACCAGTCAAGGAAATCTGGCACAGGACACAATTCAAAATTCAACCAATAGTATGACTGTATTCCTAGACTGGTTTACAATTTTAGTGTTTTATCAATTTGAACTATTACTGAAGGATAGTCATATAATGAGCACTACCTGTGTTTTCAGAAATTATTTGTTTGTTTCATCTCCTAGACATTATCAAAACATTATCTAAATCATGTAAGACCAACCTATAACCTGCTGAAGTTGTGTAATGAATTTACAACTGGAATAGTTTATTCACAGTTCAAGGGATTTCAAAGTTTAAAGAGATTTCAACATCATAGAACCAAAAATTGAGCTACCAACAGTATAGAGTCTGGTCAGTAAGGCTCCCACGTTTACAATATTTTGTAAACGTTTACACGATTGCTAAGAACCAAAACGATACCGTTTAAACGGTGGTACTAATCTATGAACTATTCAAATCGCCAAATGATGACTTACTTTCTATTTTAATACATGTTCAAATAATGTTCAGGGCTCATCATGTTTGTATCGGCACTCTATCCCCATTTTGCTCTAAGGAAAATCAATTTTACCAAAAATCTATTATGTAACGAGCGATTATTGCACAGATATGATGTGTGGATGGTTGTAAACACCCATTTTCCGTTTTTAACTTTGGAATAAACCTATTTAGAATTGATAAAATCCATGATAACAGGCAATGATTAAGATATCTAGTAAGACAATAGGGTTATTTTGTTTAAACGGTAAAAAGTATCGTAAACGTTTACGAATGAAAATTGAAACGAATCCGTTTAAACGTGTAAACGTGGGGGCCTTACTGGTCAGACTGAAACAAAAGTGGAGACTAGCCTGGCTCTATAAAGAATGGCAACTGTTATTTATTCTTGTTTCAAGCAGGTTAAAGGTTAACCTTCAGGACACTATATGAAACTTGAATGAACATCCTTGTTAATGCATTATCTAAGTTATAGCTACACGGAGAGGGAAATATGGTATACTAACATGATAATGTTGGTGATGGAGCTGTCGTAATGAAACATGATTGATGAGTTTAACATGATTATGTTAATAACAAAATGACATAAAGAACAAACACAATTTGTCACCTTAGTGCAGTAACGGGTTAACTTCTATTAACTTATATATGAAGTTAACTCATTACAGCACTAAAGTGACGACATTTGTAATCATTATAATAATATCTTAATTGGACTTGTGACTGTCCATCATTAAATCTGGATTAATACCATTATCATTTATATTGAAAATTTCAATAATTATACTGTACTGACTGAATAGCACCAGAGCAGACCATGATCAGATGGCAGGGATTTGGTCTGAACTACTCACATCGGTTAATTCAGTTTTCGCAAGCAGGCTAAGGGCTAATTTAGTAAAATGTAAAAGGAACAAAAACAAAAATGTAACATTAAATGTGATGATATCTCTGAATTTCTCTGATAAATACACAGATACATGATGAAAAAGAAAAGAAAGAGTTGCGGATCTTGATTAAACAATGATATAAATTTCACACATGTTTTTATTTTCCAGATAACAGTATAGAATTATTATCATTTTACGAAATGTTTAAACAACATAAGGTAACAGACACCTATCTATTTACTTACTGAATCCTATTACTTCTAAAAAATCATAACCAAAAAATAAATACTTAAACTGATCTATTACATTATCTTGTAAATCATAAAATAAAATATAGATCTATAACAAACAGCAGTGTATGTGAAAGAAACAGTAAGACACTATTGTACAATACAATTCAAAAAACAAGTACCAGATTTTATTGAAATTAAAATCAAGAAAAAGTAAGGTATATTAATACAGTGAGACATATAATCTAGTCAATTCAGGCAGAACAACATTGGACGATATAAATCAAACAACTTACGCGGTTGGTCTCCGGCTGGTACCCTGTTCATTGAACGGGAGAACACATTGCGTAACAACCGTGCTGTTTCCGTTAATCTGAAATCATGAACGCAAATATGTTAAGCCTAAAGTTTGTTATGATACACTCGCAACCTCACTACCACACCAGTTGGTACAAACAAAGAGAGCATACTACTATTATTTTGATAATAAAAAGAAAAGCTTCCCTAATAGAACCTCAACCTTTTTAAAACACAAAAACTAGTTTCTTAATGACACAAATACAAGTAACATTCCAATTTCTATAGGGCCTTTGTTTGGGACTGAAATATGGCCCTATTCCCTTCATATGAAATAATAATTGAAAACAAAAATTTCAGTAATTTCTGTAGCACTTGATACCTAGAAATCAAAATTTTGATGTGCTTCATTTTTTTTATATGTGAAGTCAAGCTAATTATTATAATTGCATTTGTTTACTTTACTTTTCATATTTATTTCGATGCAAATTTCACCTCCAAAAACATAATTACCTGATGCCAAACATAATCACCGTCTTCAAATACTGAATATATGATAACTGACATAGAGAACTTACTTTTTTTTAGTAGATCTAAGCACTATGGTGGTAGGGTCAACATGAGCGATCTCTGCTTCTTGTACCTTCTCTCTCAATGTCTTAAACATGGTACGTCTCAATCTGTTATCATATGAGATAGTTGTAATTTTAATTTAAAATGATTAACATTATGCAGATAAATTATTTACCGTATACATGTACTAGTTCACTGTACAGTTCATTCTATAAAGATAAACACTGTAAAGTTAACTTTATAATGATGAACACTGTAAAGCCCAGTGTATAATAATGAACACTGTATTGTTAACTTGATAATGATAAACACTGTATTGTTAACTTGATAATGATAAACACTGTATTGTTAACTTGATAATGATAAACACTGTATTGTTAACTTGATAATGATAAACACTGTATTGTTAACTTGATAATGATAAACACTGTATTGTTAACTTGATAATGATAAACACTGTATTGTTAACTTGATAATGATAAACACTGTAATGTTAACTTGATAATGATAAACACTGTATTGTTAACTTGATAATGATAAACACTGTAATGTTAACTTGATAATGATAAACACTGTATTGTTAACTTGATAATGATAAACACTGTATTGTTAACTTGATAATGATAAACACTGTAATGTTAACTTGATAATGATAAACACTGTAATGTTAACTTTATAAGGATAACACTGTACAGTTTAGTCTATAATGATAAACACTGTACAGCCCAGTCTAAAATGATAAACACTGTAGTCTGTATTGTTAACTTGATAATGAATATAGCAACTTACAGCTTTCTGTTTAACCCAAAAATAAATAACTGTTAAGTAATATGTAATAGCACTTACACTTTCCATGCTAAGTCCCTGATGAGGCAGGTAAATGGTATAAGAAGTAAACCCATCCAAAATACAGAACAACCAAGAACATAACGATCCTGAAATAGATCAAACATGAGCTATAAATAGACACCATCTGATTGGTTACTTAAATTACATATTTCAGCACTAAACTTATTTGAGAGCATATTTGTTGGGGGTTTTGTTTATTAATAAGTAAGTAAGAAAATATGATTAAAAGATTTTAGGGCTGGACCCAGATAACCAATGCATACCATTTCTAATACTACCTTTACATAACCTTATACTTTTGAAATTAGGAACCAGTCAGATACCCTGCCAACTATTTCTGGTGCCAAATTTCAGTTGGGAACTCATGACTATACACTTTCAAAAACAGGAACCAGACACTCGCACAACCATTTCTGGTACCAAGTTTATGGTAGGAAATGCATGACTCTATAAACAATCAAAAATGGGAACCAACTACTTACCATGCCAACCATTTCTGGTGCCAGGTTTATGGTTGGGTACACATGGCTATACACTATCAAAAACAGGAACCAGCTTCCAATACTGCCCCAAATGGCTAAATGTGTTAACTGAAACACGAAAATTAAAATATCATATTACAAAAACTTTTTTTACACACAGACAAAGTGGTTCACTGGTAATCAACAGTAGAGTCAGGTCAGAGTGGATCAAATTTGAGCTGCGTCACAACAAACCAACATAATGGGTTTGCGACCAGCATAAGTCCAGACCAGCCTGCGCATCCGCGCAGTCTGATCAGGATCCATGCTGTTCGCTTGCAAACCCTATAACATGTAGAGAAACTGATAGCGAACAGCATGGATCCTGATCAGAGTGCGCGGATGCGCAGGCTTGTCTGGATTCATGCTGGTAGCAAAACCCATTATGTTGGTTTTGTCTTGACGCGGCTCATTTACTGGCAAGCTTGGCTCTATACTGGTGCCATACAGCTGAATCCCATGGACATTTTAATACAGAAAACGTTATAGTGATACATGTAATAAAGTTCAATCTTTTAACAAATATATAACCATAGCTGTAGGTTATACATGTATGTAGATCTCAGGAGGTTATATTTCCCCATATATCTTATCAGCAATGTTTATATTATTGCAATTTCTGGTTACACTAAATGTCCTAATAAAAACAAACAAATAGGAAATAAATTATGAGTAAATATTAACTGGTGCATAACCAATGGTAAAGAGTCAGGTTAGAGAACAAATTGGGCAAGTTACCCTGGCTTTATACTGGTGGCATTAAAATTCAAATGACAGTAACCTGTTTTTAATTCTGTAAATGTTCACAGTGATAAAAAAAGTTATTAAAGTTATTTGTAGACAAAAGATATATTACCCAAGTCCAAGCACTTGTTTCTAACCCAGCTTTGAGGCATACTGTGACTACAACATACTGAAATATACAACAAATAAACCTTGTGTTACATCCAACTTTAAGCCTTAAATATGAAAATGGAACAATTTATTGTTATGCTATATCAACCATAACTTAATTAATTCAGTTCTTTCATTTTCAATAAATTTTATGCGAGTTACTAAAATTTGTAATTATTATGGAGAAAAAACAACATTACTTACTGTTAAAATTAAGCGTTATTTATCAAAAAAAATTCTGGAAATTGGAGATATCTTGAGGGCAATGATAGACAAAGTAAAGAGTAACAAGA